CCCGCTTCCAACTTGATTTCTACTTATTTAAATGATCGTAAGTTGTATCAGGGGGCTAGAAACAAAGTATTAGCAATTATTGTAGTTGTAAACTATAATTATTATTTTGCAAATGAATGCTAAGGGAGATACAATATGAATATTACCACATTTCCAAAAATTAAAACAACAAAACAAATAACCAACAGAAAACGTAGCGATTTTTGTACAGTATGTTGTATTTATATGTTTCTATTAAACATAGTTAAACGATTTAACTCTGAATTACATTATTTATCTATATATAGTGCATGTTATGAATTTAAATGTAGTGCTTCAAAACAACAACAACATACAAACCAATACACTAAATATTTTGTTTTACATATACATGTTTTAAAGACTGTGACGACATTATGTTAATGTATGTTTCTTCTTCGAAAACTGTTTGTCTCTCAGAGCCTAGCAATATAATAGTAATGTAACTTTAAAAACCATAAACATCCAAGTAATTATGTTGCTACTACAAATTGGAGATGAGAACGAGGTTAACAGAACCTGACTTTAACTTTAAGTGGAACGACCAGAAACAAGAATTAACTAAGTTTATTATAAATGAAAGACATCTCGTTACTACCCAACAGCTTCAACTAGTCAATCCCACCCCTCTCCCCCTCACTACTCCACATACTTAGCATAGAGCCCATGTTAGAACGTATTAGGCAGGACAGACGCTTTAAATGATTGCCCATACCAAACATGTCAGCCAAAAAAATTATAGCATAAACATATACAACCTAAAACTGCGGCACAAAATAGTTACGTGCGATCTATCACTTTGACCTGATCATTTATAATTAACTTGAAAGTGTGTACGTATGAGTGTGTTTTGTATGAAATACACAAACTCATTTAGACGCCGCTCTTAAGTAGGCCTATTTAATGAAACCCAGATAATGTTTTCCCTTTGGTTGGCTTCTCACCCGGATTTGTTTTTAAATACAATTTCTCGTTGGTTATTCCTACATGTAGGTAACTTATTGCATACGCTTCTCATGATTTAAACAATATATATATATTTTTTTTGGTTTTTTCTTTAAAGCAAAACGAAAGATCGCTGTAAGTATTCAGAACATTTTTTTGATAACTTTTTGGTTTTGTTTTTTATATAGGCTTATAGTTTTACTGTATTATGATGCATCACTAATGGTATCCAAATGCATTCGACCGATGTCGTTTAAACCAATGGTATGTCTAACTTTGTAGCTTCCACGAAAGTACATTTAAATTTTCCAACGGAAGAAATGCTGTTAAGTTTGTCAAAGTACAATATCAAAGATCACGTTGACTTTAGCAGTAGCACCATGTTACATGTAAATCTCACTCCGTACATCCGAGTTGTTCACTATTTGGTTATACATGATTGTCATACAGTACAAAATGGTGTCAACACTGATTGCTCTTACCAATTAAAATAATCATCGACTTTGTTAATCCTGTATTAGTCATTTTAAACATATTGTTCCATAACGTATTATCATAGCATCGACCATCGACAAAGTAGGCTATATGCAATAAAATCAGAGCGACATAAATATTACATATAAATGTACCATTAGTTAAATGTACCATTAGAAACAATTGTTTTTATAACACATGTTACAATATTTCTGATTAGCTTAATCGATAGAAAACAAAATAGTTCAAACTATGTTGTTTTAGTTTGCCGCCTTTGTCATGCGTGTGTTGTTCTATTTATAGTTTTCTACAGAAATTTGTTTACTTCTGTCCTGTGTGTGTTGTTCTATTTATAATTATCTACAGAAATGTGTTTACTTCTGTCTTGCCTATGTATTGTGTGTGTTGTTCTATTTATAGTTGTCTACAGAAGTGTGTTTACTTCTGTCCTGTGTGTGTTGTTCTATTTATAATTATCTACAGAAATGTGTTTACTTCTGTCTTGCCTATGTCTTGTGTGTGTTGTTCTATTTATAGTGGTCTACAGACATGTGTTTACTTCTGTCTTGCCTATGTCTTGTGTGTTGTTCTATTTATAGTTGTCTACAGAAATGTGTTTACGTATGTCTTGCAGGACGCCGTCACCACGAGCCTACACATACGATCTATTTTTACCACCCTAGTCCAGTCTTTCAGTGTGTAGACCGTCCAGTGGTTGGTTACAACAATATCAACAAAGTAGAAGTGATATAGTTTTATAATAAAGAAAATAAAATAAAAAAACGTTATAACAACACGCTTTTAAGTGAACTGAAAAAAAAAATGTTAAAAAAAAAATCAAATATGTAAAATGCCTTATGAGCTACCACATAGTAATGAGTAGCGAACATTTGTAATTATAATCGAACATTAAGTAATGATTTTCTTCCCAATCTTACAACCTCTCTACGACATGTTTTATATCCGTCATCTTATTGTATTTGGCACTATTGGAAAGCTAGATTTCTAATGTATTTCATAATTTAATTTTACATCATCTTGGAAAAACTCTAAGTTTATAATCAGCTTTACAAATTTCAAAGATAATAATATGGTATTTTTGTGACCTACTTTTCGTTTTTTTTGTGCTGTTTTTCTCAGTTTACACGTTTTTAAGCACTAAAAGCCTACTACAAATTTGTTATAAAACAGTGCATAAGATATCTTTAGTAAATGTTCTTCATGCAAAATAAAATTTGTGTTACGATATAATTCTGATGACATTCATAGAAAGAAAGTTTATGATAAATAATATGATAATTTTGAAACTTGTGCATACTAAAAGGGGTGCGATTTTTCGGACCTTTTAGAAATCTGAAAAAATGTAGAGTCCCTTGCTCTTTTTCCACCACGGTATGTTTGTACTACTTGTTATTTGCAAAAAAATAAAGAAGATGGCGTTTAATTGTCAGAATAAATCACCTGTTGTAATGACTTTAACACTGATGCAGACACAAAATATTATTCCTTATATATCCTGACATGATACACACACCGTAGACCGATTTGAGACATGATAAATAATTGTAGACACATGTGTCGGATGTTACTGAACTGTGGGCGCATGTGTAAGATGCTATTAAAATGTAGCCCTATTTGTCGGTCTAATGTAGGTCTTATCTATCTGGATTGATACCATCTGTTTGACAACATCTGACCCTCCAATAAGTTCACATTTGATATACAACTGTGTGTATGCAGGGATATTTAAAAATGTTTTTGTTCGTTGACTGACTACATCAAGTTATACAATGTAAAATAATGTGTATTGATTGTGTGAACCTGTTGTTAAAAAAATAGTTTCAATTTATCGGCTAAGTCCGCAGTTGGTGCAGCCGAACCTTACTAATTACATAACCAGTAAAGAATGAATTGTAGTTTTATAAGTGTCATGTGCTTTGAACACATAAGATACGACAATAGGGGAATTATACAGTTAATCATTAGCACACACATACGTCAAAACATACGTTTGACCAAATATCTGGACAAAGTCCTAAGAGGCCTTGCGACTTATTAATGTCATAAATGCTAATATTAATCATTAAAATACGTTCAACGATTGAAGAAAATAATATAGTGTAACGAGTATAGATAATTATAATGTGTTAGCCCCCACCCTCAAATAAAAAAAAATAATAAAAAAATAAATAAAAGGAAATGGGACAATCCTTAATATTAAACAAAAAAACATAATTCGACGTTTAAAAATAAAACCTACTAATTTTTTTCTTTCCATATCTACCTTCTACTTTTAACATTTAGGCTTAATACTAAACATGGTTAAAATAGTAATTTGTGAGCGGTTTATTACATTTTTGTGGACGTCCGCAATCAGTTTTATGTGAGGTAGGTGGTGGGATGGGGGGGGGGGGGTCTGTCGAAAGTGGACAAGTGTAGACGGAGGGTGGGGGGGATCTGAATTTTTTTTAACGTCATTAATGGATCGCCCCTTAAGTAAAACCTTTCCATAAAGGAATAGAGTACACTTGGTCAAAGTATCACTATGATCAAACTTTAGCGTACCATATTATCATGTTTAGTTAAAAAGTACGTGTTTTAGGTCTCAATAAGTGAGGGAAATTGAATGTCCAAAGTTCGTTTTTGCTGAAAGTCTACTGTTGCGTCCGGGTTAGATCCGAATTCAAGAACGACCTGGTTTAACGTTCAATACGTTTATTAGGTCTCACATATCACATTACAGCATAGCCCTCGACCTAACCACTACTAACTAACCAACCCCTGACAACCATTCACTCCAGCTTTTATACCGCATTCGACCTTGGGATAACAATACACAAACACACCGGGGTTAACAATATTCTAGGGTAAACTCAACTCACACTCTCACTCTCCCCTAATTCTAGATCATTCTATCCTATTCTAGTCTAACCTACAACTGACCCGTAACACTACCCCCCCCCCCACCCAAGTATTTGTAGTACATACTACAAATACTAACTAAATCCCCAAATCCTAAGTTAACCTAGAGGGCGAAAACAAACAGAGAAAAAATAAATAAATAAATAAAATAATTAAAAAAAAAACAAACAAAAAAAAATGATTTGACAGGTATACTACACCAAGAGGAGAGTAAATAAATAACGCATTTATACATCTCTTTGTACATGAATCCAAGACAAACAACCGAGTAAAAATAACCGAAACAAAAACAGAAAAACAAACAAACAAACAATTATGTTGTTTAAATTACAATTTACATCTCAGACTCCCGATCTAAAATTTCTTGACAAAAAATCAGCTAGAAGATTATCCCTCCCCGGAATGTGTTCTATAGTAAATTTATATTCCTGTAGCAGTAAGGACCAGCGTGTCAGTCTGGCATTATTGAACCTACAGTTATTCAGGTATTTTAGAGCACGCTGGTCCGTCTGCAGTACGAAGCTAGCGTTGTATAAATACAACGCTAGTTTGCCTGTGGCCCAGACAATTGCTAGGCACTCTCTTTCTATAGTAGAGTACCGAGTCTCTCTCGGTTGGAGTTTTCTGCTGATGTATTTTACTGGTCTCAGGACCCCATTTCTCATTTGCATCAAGGCTGCCCCGATACCTCGTGACGAGGCGTCGGTCCTGAGAATAAATTGCTCATTAATATTAGGTAAAATAAGAAATGGTTCTGAGTTCAAGTGTTTCTGGACCAGTCTTAAAGCACGGTTACATTCATCTGACCACACGACCTTTTCAGGTTTACCCTTTGCTAACAAGTCTGTCAGTATTGCGTTGGCCTCGCTGAATTCTGGTATAAATTTAGCATAATACCCTATAAGACCCACTAATGATCTTACCTCCTTCTTTGTGGTGGGTATTGCTACGTTTAAGATTTTGTTTACCTTGTTTCTCTCTGGTGTCAGTAGCCCCCTCCCCACTATGTGCCCTAGGAAATTAATTTTTTTCAAACCCTAGCTCTAATTTGGCAGGTCTTACTGTCAGGCCCGCGTCCTTCAATCTATTGAACACCGCCTTTATTGCCATAAGGTGTTCCTCCCATGTCTCGCTGTAGATACAGATGTCATCAAAGAATGACACCACATTTTCCAAGTCTTTTAATACGACTCGCATTAATCTGGCGAATGTGGCGGGTGCCGTGCATAGGCCAAAGGGCAGGTAATTAAACTGAAATAGGCCCCAGGGTGTGACAAATGCGGTGAGTTTTTTGCTGTCATTTTGCATGGGGATCTGCCAATACCCTTTTGTGAGGTCGAGTTTAGTAAAATATTTTGCCCTATTTAATTTAGCGAACAGCTCATCTGTATCTGGGATGGGTTCCGCGTCGTAGACTGTGACTGCGTTAAGTCTCTTATAGTCTACACAGAACCGTGTCGACCCATCTTTTTTCTTAACTAGTACTACAGGTGCGCTGAAGTCGGAGTCGGACCTCTCTATTATTCCCAGTCTCTCCATTTCTCTTTCTTCATAAGCTCTCTTCAAGCGTATGGTATGCAGTAGGGTTTCGTTCTTATTGCTCTGGTGTTGGTCAGTTTTATTTTATGTTCTAGTAAACTTGTTTTTCCAGGTAAGTTGCTAATTACAGCTGTGTACTCTTGGATAATTTTGTCTAGATCCGTCCGCTGTGTTTTTGTCAGGGTGTCTCCTATTTTGATATCACTTAACTTAGTTTCCTCCAGTATGTCGGGAGTTTTTATTGTGTCCAATGGGATACCCGGTTCCATGTCCTCCTCAATTGTTAGTGATACTTGGTTTTCTTCTTCTGCCTCCACCACTCCTGACACTGCCGCTAACATGGGGTGTCCCTTGCTGTCGTTTGGTTTTTGTCTGTGATGGTACAGCATCATCCGATTTACATGGACCACCTTAGTGCTATCCCCTGTTTTAATAACATAGTCCAAGTCTCCGATTTTTTTAAGACTTCGTAAGGTCCCGCCCACCTTAGCTCAAGTTTGTTTAATAGTTGGGGCTTCAATATCAGCACATGATCCCCCACTTTGATATCTTTGGTTGTGGCTGATCTATCGTAGTAGCTCTTTGCTTTATCTTTCTCATTTTCTGATTTGCGGGTTGCATAACTGCATGCCGTTTGCAACTGCTGCTTAAGGTCCAGCAGGTAGTCATATGCAGCTCTTGTCTTATATTCCCTTACTTCTCCTGTGAGGATATCCTTTAGGATGCTCATCGGGCCCCTCACTTTCCTGCCGAACATAAGTTCGAATGGCGGGTAACCAGTACTTTCGTTTGGAACTTCTCTGTAGGCGAAAAGTGCTGCTGGGATGAACACGTCCCAATCGTCATCCTTGTCTATAGCTACTTTCTTTAGCATTTCCTTCAAAGTTCCATTCCATCGTTCTACAGCCCCGTTGGCCATGGCGTGATATGCCGAAGCGTGAATGATTTTAATCCCCAACATTTTAGACACGGTGCAGAAAATTTCCGACGTGAACTGGGTCCCGTTATCTGAGAGTATGACTTCCGGGAATCCCATCCTCGTGAAGATGGAGAGTAGCGCATCTTGAATCTCTGCTGCCGTTACACTTTTCAGCGGTACGGCTTCTGGCCACCGTGTGCATATGTCTACGGCTGTGAGTATGAATCTATTCTTTTTTTTCGTTTGAGTTAGTGGCCCCACAATATATACGGCGATTTTCTCAAACGGTTGTCCCACTACCTCAGTTCTACCCAGAAGCGCCTTGCCACCAACATTCTTTTTGCTTTTCTGGCAGACATCACAACTTTCGCTGTAACGCCTGATATCCTCCCCTGCCCCTGGCCAGCTAAATTGTGACAGAATTCTGGCTTTCGTTCTTGCTACACCCATGTGCCCCGCCATAGGTGTGTCGTGTCCTAATTTCAGGATGGTGGGCCTAAGTCCCCTTGGGATTGCTAGTCTAATCTGATCTTCTGTTTTGCTGTGTTTTATGATCTTATATAATAACCCATCTATCGTTTTACATTGTTTGCCCTTTTCCGCGAGCTTCCACCACCTAGATAATGTTTTGTCTTCGCTCTGTTGCGTTTTAAAATCTTTCGATGTCCTTATTTGGTCTAAAATCTTATGCCCCGGCTCATTTCTCTGGTTGCCCCCTGCTCTAAGTTGTCCTCTGGTTTCTACCGCCGCTAATGTTAGCGAATCTTCCCTAGGTAGTTTCGCGCCTGCTACATTCCCTATTATAAGTTCAGCGGGTGGATCATATAAAAGGACGGCAAAGAACTCTCCCTTAAGGTATGGTGTTTCTATGTTGACTACAGCTCCTGGTACTCTTTTCTTATCTCCATCCGCGGTCTTTATGGTTATCCATTCTTTTGTCCATCTATTTCTTGGGACTAGAGCTTTTCGACAAGCTACGACTACATAACCCGTATCGCGTAGGACGGTCACCGTCCTCCCATCCAGTTTTCCTGCAACTATAGGAAGTGACCCTCTGTCGCTTATGAATCTCCGATTAGCTCCTATGTTCCCTACAGGGACAGCGCCCTTTACTTGACTTAGGCATTGTCCACAGTCGCCGCACTCCCCGCTGAACTCTGGTACTAGTCATATGTCTTGAATGTCCCTGAAGCCTACCCTTCTCCCTCTGTACTCATGTCCAATTTGTCTACGATTGGACCGGCACCCCGCCGCTATGTGCCCCTCAGCCCCACAGTTAAAGCATGTGAATGGGCTTCTTCTGGGACTAATATTACTACTCGGCCTAGGTTGGACCGGGCTTTGTCCTCTTCTCTCCCGTTGAAGGGTGACTTCATTTATTGTGCCCCATTCCTCTCTAATGGGGCTCTTAGATCTAGGTCTTAGGGTTCGTTTGTCCTTGTCCTCTCTAAAGGGATTCCTAGATCCTGATGCAAGTGCCATGGGGGCAACAAATGCGTCCTCTGTCACGTCGATCGGTTTTAATTTTCTGTCTGGGTAGATGTCAAAGTATTTGTCACAGGCATTTTCTACGTCTGTTATTGTCCTCGGGTTTTGCCTGAGGATGTGCTGTCTTACGTCTTGTCCGACTGTTCTCACTATTTTGTCTTTTAAGAGTAGGTCAAACAGTCCGTCAAATGTTTTGTCACACTTGCTAGCTTCGACCCATCTTCTCAAGTAGTGTCGTACCCTCCTAATGTAACTCCCTGCTCTATCTTGTTCTGATGGTTGGGCGCTATTAAACTTATCACTGTATCCTTGCTCCGTCAAACCAAAGTGTTTTAGGACCTCCCTTTTCAGCTTCCCATAATTCTCTTCTGCTCCCAATTCTGTTAACCACGATTCGCAGCATATATCTAGCAGAGCTTTCCTAAACTCTTGGCACCAAAACTTATCTTCTAAACCTATATCTCGGGCTTCCCTTTCAAAAATGTCAACCACCACCTCCATATCTGTTTGGTCCCTACTGTTTCTCAGACCAGACAGCCTAATTCTTGGGGTCTGTGCCCTACCCCTGCCCTTTATGTCTTCCTCCCTTGCTATTTCCAGCTCCTTCAATTTTAGTCTTTCTTCTGATTCAATTTTAGCCCTAGTTAGTGCCCTGTCTGCAGCCATCTCGTCCCTTTCAGCCTGCTGCCTAGCCTTAGCCTCCGCCTCTAACAATTTAGCCTCAGCCCATTCCAACAGCTCCCTTCCCTCTAGTTTACATCTTTCCCCTAACGCTATAAAATGCTCTAGCGTTAAGCCTTCGCTAGCCATCTCACCATAGCCACTTAGGATTGGATGCCAAAATTGTAATACCCAATATAATGTTAGGCAAAGGGTAATCCCCGGTTGTGAGTACCGTGCCAAAGACTAATGCAAAAACACTTACCTCAAATACACATCTGTTGTAGTAGTCCGTCCCTTCCCCTACTTTAGCCCTTCGAAAACAATGGTAAATCTGATAATGGCCGGGTCATGTGAAGACAAAGACCTGGATCGAAAAAGACAAAAGTCCTGTGACGGCAATGCTCTGTGCTGGTAAGGTCCCAGGATGGTAGAGTTCAGTGATGGCGACTTTCAGTTCTGATAAAGTCCAAGGATGATAGAATACAATGATGGCGACTTTCTGTTCTGATAAAGTCCAAGGATGGTAGAACCCAGTGATGGCGACTTTCTGTTCTGATAAAGTCCAAGGATGGTAGAATCCAGCGATGGTGACTTTCTGTTCTGGTAAGGTCTCAGGATGGTGACGTCTAGTGGTGGTGACGTCCAGTGGTAATGACGTTCTGATTGCGACATTCTGTTCAGGTAAGGACCCAGGATTATATAGTCCAGTGATGATGACGTCTAGTGATGGTGACGTCTAGCGATGGTGACGTCTAGTGATGGTGACATCCAATGGTAATGACGTTCTGATGATTGCGCTATCTTTACTTTAATACTGGCCACCAGTTGTTACGTCCGGGTTAGATTCGAATTCAAGAACAACTCGGGTTAACGTTCGATACGTTTATTAGGTCTCACATATCACATTACAACATAGCCCTCGACCTAACCCTGCCAACTAACTAACCCCTGACAACCATTCACTCCAGATTTTATACCGCATTCGACCTTGGGATAACAATACACAAACACACCGGGGTTAACAATATTCTAGGGTAAACTCAACTCACACACTCACTCTCCCCTAATTCTAGATCATTATATCCTATTCTAGTCTAACCTACAACAGACCCGTAACAATTGTTAGTAACTATAAATTAAAGGACATAAATGTTTTAAAAATTATTTGAATTGTCTCCCCGCCCACCGAGTATTATTTATTTATTTTTTAATTTATATTAATCCAAACGGGTTCTAACTTAACCAGATTAGTCGTCGTTAACTCCTGCATTAACTATTGGCTAATCTCCTCTACCCGTGTCTGTGTTGCTGGTGTTTTAATCTGCTAATGACCAGTGTGAAGGTGTGACCACATGATGACCACGTGATGACACTGATACTGTTGACCGTACATGATAACCCTGACTTAAACTACACTATAATGTCTCGATGAGGTGTGTTGGGTCATTAACACTATTATCCACCCCGAGGAAGAAAAAAAAAGACCCAAATTATTATCGAATTGTAGACATTTTATAAAACTTAGGGGACGGTGTGGTCGAGTCGATAAAGCTCATGGTTGCTGAACCGAAAAGTCTCGAGTTCGAACCCTCGGGCAGATGAGGCTCGTTAGCTGGGGACAGCCACTCTTCTAGGAGAGACAACTCCAAAATTAAACAACTGCTGCCTTGTAGTTAGTTCTTGGTTGGACAAAGGCTATGGTAGCAAATCCAAAAAGAAAAGCAGGCTGAAATCGGAGTCAATGGCCTCAGTGGCGCATAACCAGTTGACACGTAATCCTTAATTGTGATGGTAGCATAATCGACAAAGCTCAGGGTTGATACATTCGAAAAAAAAAGTCTCAGATAAAAAGGCAGATAAGGCTCGATCCTTTGCAACAATAACAATTAAGAACGAAGAAGAAGAAGAAAATAAAACATAATACATCGGATTGAGTTCTCAGTTATTTATTTTTATTTGAAATAAAACTCGTTATAATTATCTTATGTGGGAAATGTCTACGTTGTATTTTCACTAAACAGTGATTTAGGAAGCGTTTCCCAGAACGGGAAGTTTGAAATATTAGCATGGATTTACAAAATAATATTTATATAATAACGAAATAATATAAAATAGTAAGGGCTGACAGATCGTGGCGTTTTTTACTTTCTCGTATATACGAAGTATAGAGAAAGTATTGTAATCGTGCAAAAAAAAAAATCGAGATTTTTACAAATCTCGACGTTTTACACCTCACTGATACGGAAAAACATAATTTTGCAATCTTGTCCGTATGTCTGTGTGTGTGTGTGTCTGTGTGTCTGTCCGTGTGTAAACACGATTACTTGAGTACCGTTACAGCTAGGTTGATGAAATTTCATATATAAGTATTATATCAAAATCGTAGATCCGTATCAACTTTTGAGCGATTTCCGACAACCGGAAGTGGTACTTTTTCTACTTTGAATTTTTCAAAAGCCTATAACTTGAGTACTATTTCAGATAGATAAATGATATTTCACATGTAAGTAAAAGATCTAATTCTCTACCTTCTGTAAAATGTTGAGTAATTTAAGTTGACTGGAAGTAGTACTTTACTCTACTTCCGATTTCTCAAAAAACTAATGTAAATTTATTAAGTACTAATACTATTACGCACTATTATACACACCTTTATTAGGCGTTCGCTTGGTGCGCAATTGTTTTTTACTGAGATTCTATTCTATTTTTAAAACTTTAAGTATTTAAAATGGATTAAAAATCATTTCTATAGCCCGAGTTCCCATCCCCTGTTATTTTATATAAGAATATTCGAGAAAGTTTAGGGGAGATCACTTCCGGTTTATTAAATTAAGTTTTGACATCTTAAATTGTCCAGCTTTTCTGGTAAATACTAAACCAACTAAATATTGTTTATCGAGACTGAATACATAAACTTTTTTTAAACACCAGACAATGCATTTGTTTTAGCTAAAATGATAGTCTTGGTTGGTATTTAAAGTGCATGAGGTGGAAAAAATATTACAATAATGTGTACTTATACAATCATGATTTTGTGTTTTTTTTTTCAAATTACCTTACTTTATTTAAATACTAAGTTATTCGAATGTTTCTGTCAATATCACTTGACAGCAACGCTGGTATTTTATATGAAAATCAACAAAGACAACGTTTTTATGTATACGTTGTATTTATGTAGCAATAAGTTTGTTACACTGTGTAACAACAAACTTATTACCCCCCTCCACCCATCCATACAAGTAGCTTAACTTATGTAAAAATAAACGATCTCTCGGTTACCATCAACTTAATTAAATCTTATCTCTGTTCTTTTCAACTGAGTTAGAAGAGATATTCTATTTCTCATTCACTTATGTCAGAATTTTACAGCCTCAGATTAATCTTTTCGCTCATAATATTTTGAGGCAGATTTATGCACATCAGATACAGATCAGCTAGTTAATTTTTTTTTTTTTTCAGCTAGTTAAAAACAATTATTTAGCGAACGCTCTGCTGAGAACTCGAAATATTGTTTAAAGTGTTAAATTACTTATCTTTGAAATCTACATAAAATAAGTATCAGTTGTTAGCTTTTTAAATGTATCATAAGCGTTTATTCACCGTTCAATGTAAGCAAATTATTTTCGGATAGCTTATAATAAACAAAATAATGTCAATGGATCAATCATCAAATGAATTTATTATTTTTTATTCAAATTGGTTTATTTATCTATTAGGCGGATTTTGTGTCTTTGAGTTGTCTCCCGTAGTGTGTTTGGAAAAATAAATATGGGAAGTAATTGTGAACTGCTCGTTTAAAACACCAAATCAAAATAATATATATTTATTTTAGAGCACCCAATATTAAAATAATATATATATAACATCATTACCTGAAGATAAGTTAATAAAGATAGTTGGACGTTTTCTATGATGTGTGGATTGTTGTTTATTTCTCTTAAAATAGATGGGATCCTGGCATGCCTTGTAATGACCATGTTATTAGTTGATACTTGCGATAAACATATAATTAGTATGTTGCTTTATTTGCATATAATACATTTTCTATTCTCTCTTACTCTACACAACTCATAATAATATTCGGTCTCTAGTCTGATTTCGAATGCTTTTTCGCACAAATATCAATCTCCGCTACTACTCGCTTTTCCGCGATTGATCCCTAAACGCTCCAATAATCCCCTAACTCGTTTCAGTGGTCAGCTGATCATCTCACATAAATGGTCACATAGTTTTTCCTCTGAAAACTATAACAATCTTCTAACGTTATCTACATCCAACTCGCACCTGATGCTTCAGTGGTCAGCTGATCATCTCACGTAAATGGTCAGTTCGTCACTGCATTATATTGGTTCTGCTTGACCAATGTCTAGTTGACCTACGCTACCTATCGCTTATCTATGACCAACATTACACTATTTCGTCATCACAGTGCCACATACAGTATCTTTCTTGTACATGGATAGCTCAAGTGTGTTGGGTCCATGTTGTGTTTTAGTGTTGTTTAGATCTGCTACAATAAAGGTTTGGTTTGCAGGATCTGGTGCGGGCTGATTAGACTGTGGATTATGTGGCCATAAATAATTTGGTGGCCGTTGGTCTTGATGATGGTCTATCTTCTTCAGATATTTTGATTGAGATTGTTTGTGACTTGGCTGTATCTGAAAAGAGTTGGGTCCACGCATGTATTAAGCAACGCGGGCCGTAATCACAGAGGCTTCTCTCAACAGCTTTCCACGTAGATGGATCATTAATGGGCGAAGCTCCATTGCTGTTGGTGTTGATTATACTTACATATGACATTACAGTGTTGGCTAAATGTTAAAATCTAGTGCTAACTCAGGTCGTATGTGACTCGAATGGTCTGATCGTAGATAGACCTGTATTAAAAGATTTATCGGGGCAGGTCGCTTAAATAAAAGTCAAAAGTGCCATATGCGATCTAAACAGCAGTACAATCTATAACTATCAAATACAATTTAAAATAAAGATGAAATGCAGTTCTACACAAAAATCAATCAACGTATTCATTTAAGAAAACAATGATTGCGATTTTAAAACGTTTATAAAACGGACTTTATACACAACATATCAAACGTGCAACTATCTGCATCAACCAAGCTGTACACAATTATATGTTCATTTGGTTAGGGTAATGGATTAATTTATTACGGAGTACAACAATACACAAGATTACGCATTGTTCATGGAGTTTTGAAAGTGTGGATGTGTTTGACGTATTAGTGTTTTGTTTTGGTAATTAAACGCTATTTCAAAAAAAAAAAAAAAGCTAAACGCAATTTGTTTTGCACGTTGAATTGGCGACATAAGCACTCTTTATTCTATAGGCTAGCATACATTTTATAAAACAAAATGCAAAAACAAAATGGCAGAAATATGGCATGATGTATAAAATCACATTTATATTTAAAAACCTTATCTGCAAAACTTTGTAAACAAATAAATATCGATCACTGTGTTTCTGTACAGCTAATCAATGTTTGCCTTACGAAAGTGAAACATAGGGTTCTAACTTCGTGTAAATAAAAAGAAATGGAGCATTAAAACTAAAAAAAAAATACATTTTCAAAGTTAATCCAGTGTCAGTCATTTTTAACATATTGTTTTATAAAATAAAAAAATCTACCATCGACAAACTCTATGCAATGAAATCAGAGCACAGAAATAGTATGTAAATGTTACCAATCACATTTTTTTGGGTATAAAACATGTTAATGTGTTTGTGACTAGCTTAATAGATAGAACATAAAATAGTTTAAACATGTTTTTTTTGTTAGCCGCCTACGTCATGCGTACAGTGTTCTATTTATAAATGTCTAAAAAAACGTCCTAATGGCTGACTATGTATTTTGTGTCTGTTGTTCGCTGTATACATGTCTACAGAAATTTCCTTGGTTTTAAAGAGCCACTAACATTTTTTTTATTTCAAATATTTTATTTTTTTATTAAGATTATTAGTATTTGTGCAAGGAGCTGGAGAGCCGCATCTTGATATCAAAAGAGCCGCATGCGGCTCGCGAGCCGCAGGTTGCCGACCCCTGGGATATAGAGTTCAATAGGTTTTTTGGAAGTGATGGAAGAGCACCACCAGCTTCCAGGGAATTTGTTGATAAACTTCCAACCCATTCAGTCACACCAACTGTAGCAGCACAAGGAATAAAGTGTCCTGTCTGTTTGATGGAATTTGATGAAGATGATGAAACTAAAATTCTCCCATGCAACCATCAATTTCACTGTGCCTGTATATTGCCGTGGCTAGGAAAATGAATTCTTGCCCCATGTGTCGTCAGTAATATCCAACAGATGACCCACAGTATGAAAAATATAAAAAAAAAAACATAAGGCCCGAGCAAAACAGAGAGAATTTGAATTAAGCAATCTACATGACTCGATGTTTGGATAGAAATTTTCAGTGTGCATGTAATTTTATGCAACACTTGTAATTTTAAAACGTGAAAGACCCGACTGAACAGATTGAAATTTTCATGTGTAACAATTCACGTTTCTCAGTAAGGGGGCTAATAATATTCAAACACTGTTAGATAAGCTGAACCAATAGCATTTGCTTTTTTTTCACTTGACATATCGCAATGTTCGCAGGTGGGTTTGTAGTCAAATTAAACCAAATTTTAACCCACTTCTGATATTGAAAGACATTAAACTTTCAATCTTGTTAGATAGTCCAGAATTAAACTACCTAGTCAAAATCATGACTGGGACAAACCATGTTCTTATGAGTTGATGTCAGTTTTGCAAGAAAATGATTAGGCTTTAGATCATGTTATTCATGTATGGTGTTAACTTATTAAAAAATGCAAAGAAAAAATAAATAAATAAATAAAATCGATATTACCCCGATACCAAACGCGGCCTTAAAAGACAGAGGTTCCAGTGCAACAGATTTTTAACAGAGCGTACATCACTCTAATCCCCAAACCTGACACAGACAGAACAAAAGTCCAGAACTATAGACCCATATACCTACTGAACAGTGAATACAAAATCTTGACCAAGGCACTAGTAAGGAAATTGAACCTTTCATAGACAGGATAATTTATATAGACTAACAATACAGTTTACCAGGCAGGAACATACAAAATTCCACATATCTTATAAGAGACATAGTATTTTACGCTACACAGAAGAACACGCAAATGGCAATCCTTAGCATAGACCGACAAAAAGCCTTTGATAGGGTAGATCACACATGGTTAATGAAAACAATACATGCATACAATCTAGGACCGTATTTTAAATCATGGATCAACATCATCTACACAGAAGCTCAAAGCCACCTTTTGAACAACAATGCTGTCAACAAAGCTATACAAATAAAAAAGTCAGTTAGACAAGGCTGTCCGCTATCCCCATATATATATATATATATATATATATATATATATATATATATATATATATATATATATATTCAATAACTAGATTAATGATTGTATCAACATAATGCCTGTATATTGAACACACGCACAACTTTAAATTGAGCTACATTTGACCATCTCTTTTAGTGACGCCTACGTATCACACATGGTAATATAATTTCTTTAATAGTTAATGTTAAATGTATCCATAGGATTCGATACAATGTCGCATATTTTAAAAAAAAAATGTTTTTTTTTTAATTTTCCGATGCTGAAAAGTATTAATTAATATTTTTTTCCTGTGTGGTTATTATATAAGGGAAGTAATCACCTATTGAATAAACCTTTTTGAAAAATCAATTTTAAACACAAGAACAATAAATCAAACATGTTTGTGAAATTAGACAGAAAAACATAACTAAATTGTCTCAAATATGATGTAAAAAATCATAGATGTGCGTGTGTTCTATGTTTGAAATATTATTGTTATTGCAAACATAAACGTAACAGCATTATTTTTTACTCATTTGAAAGACAAGCGAAGATATCGTTCAACTAACATTCCTTTCTGATTGCAGAAGTGTGTACTATTATCATTATTCACTTCTTTATTTATTTTTTCTTTATATTTAGACGTTTTGTATTATATCTATGTATAAGTAAACCATCTTAAATGAATGAAAGCAGGCCACAAGTAAGAAAGAAATATTACTATTGTAAATCTGTATCAGTCCTCACAAGCCGATGATGAAAACTGTAATACTAAAGCGAACACACAACTGACGCTATAAATTACGTGTCTGAGGCACACAAAAAAAAATAAAAAATTATTCACTTCAAAGTTTTAATTTTTTTTTTTGCAAGATGGCAGCCACCATGAAAGACAGTGATGCTCAGGTTACATATGAAGACCAGCAAAAGATCAACAGGTTTGCACGAACCAATGCCCGTCTTATGGATTTTAAAGAAGAGTTAGCAGCAAAAGAGAAAGAGCTAGAGAATTTAAAAGATGCTGAGGAAGAGTTCATGCTGGCTGAGGGGGATGCTGAGGTTATTCCATATCAGATTAGGGAAGTTTTGGTAGAAATGAATGTTGAAGATGCTCAGTCTGCCCTAGAAAAAGCCAAGGAAGTGTGCTTAGAAGAGATCGCGGCTCTGAAACAGAAGGCTGTTATATATACATATATATATATACACACTACAACTAAAAACAATGAACGTAACACAATCTGTTTTGTAATTCTTGTAAAAAAAATTCTTTCATAATAATTCCTGGGAAATTATTTAAGACAAGTGAAATAGGGGAAATAATCGCTCTCTTAATATAAATATGTATATATCTACACATTTAATTATAAATGTCAAAACAAATAAACAATTACTTGAGAATATAATGAAATTGTTTAACACTACTCGTGTTTACAAAATGTTTTTGTCTATAATCAAAATTTAATATATCGTTATCATAAATGCTAAAGTATTACAGCATGATGAAAGTTTTTAAAATCAGAGTTGGTATAAAAGCACGCTTTTCGATATAATAGAATGGAATTCGGAATAACAGCCTACATTTAATTAAATATCGGTATATCATATATTTTTATTAACTACTGCTTCTGTGTGTTCTTTAAAGATCGTTTTTTAACATAGTGATAGGTATGGGTTAGATTACTGGTAATTGCAAAAACAATTTTCACAGAGTTTTACGTTTAAAAAGCTAATTTTCTGGCGGCATGGTACTTTTGTACATCATTACGCGTTTTTCTACATTTACTTAACAGATCAGTTCGGGTGGGTTGGGGGGTGGGGGTGGGGTGGGGTGGGGTGGGTTCAAATTTATTCACCACAGTCCGTTCACTTTAGGTCAAATATCCAACCCAGTGTATATCTAGGCGTGACATTAATGTCGCTCTACACAATTGTAGTGGTGAGGTCAGTTTTTAGATGACTGTTCTAAACATACATATATATTACACAAATATATATTACACAAATATATATTACAGAAATAGATTTGAATAAGTAGCAGTGGTATTATGACAATATTTTTTTACAGAGGGGTCTATGGGGGAGGGGGGGGGGGGGGGGGTTGTAACTGTTTCATATAATTTGTAATCGTAATCACTATCACTTAAACTTTAAGAATACTACTACTTCATCGTGATGACGTTGTTGACCTTGTCAAAATTTCCCCACCACTACCCATTTTGCTCATAAGTAAATTTAAATAGAGGTGCCACATCAATTGTATTTGTTTCTGTATAGTAATTTTTAAAGAATTAATCACGCGATTCAAACTGTATATATAAAGTAATTATGTGTGAAGTTTTATGCATAACATTTTCTAATTCAATATTTCGTAAGCAAATGCATTACACAGTTGCCTTAAACTTAACAATCCTCTTGCCAAGTGGTACTACCGTAGAGGTTTTTTAAACATTGCAATGCATCGTAAGGGTTATTTTTAGAATGGCAAACTGATGCAGCTGTTAATACGTGTTGTAAACGTAGACACTACTAGACTAGTACAGTAATGCTTAATTGCTGCATGAAAAGAAATCTTGTGATTTACATAGATGAGCCGACCAAAAATATTTTTTAACAAATATCATTGTTTAAAACTTTGAGTTTAAAAAGTTTCCAAAAAGGCGCCAATTTGCTGAAAATGGCCAGAGGGGGAGCTAGAAACAAAGTATTTATTTTATTTTTTAGTTGCAATCTATAATTATTATTTTGTACATGTAAAATAAAGGAGATAAAATAATACGATTACAATCTTCCACAACCCCTTCCACCCCGCCACCCAAAAAAGTAAAAAAATAAATAAATAAATAAATAAATAAACACATATAACAATCAATACCCCTACCTCACTTTCTCACTACTCCACAAACTTAGCATAGAGCCCATGTTAGAAAGTAATAGACTGGACATCCACATTAAAATAAAGTAAAGCACATAATGACGACACCAATGTTTAACAACAGACGGATCAAATAAATGAAAACAATAATAGAGAAATGTATATAATACGGGATAGGCAGTGGGGGCAAAATACATGTTGAGAAATCCAAAATTAAATGAAACGGACAGGAAAACAAAATATGACACACCAATTATAGTGACAGAAAAACTCAAACTGTTCGGCTTCACAAGGACGAGACGGACACACATATTTACATAGAAGCTGAATACTAATTAAAGGGATACAACAACGGAAATAATGCATAACTCAATACAGCTGTATCTACCTCCCCTACTTTTAAAATAAAGCATTATATATCACCACACATGGAATATACCGGATCACAATATCTTAGCAAGTAGCTGTATGTAAATATTAAAGTAGTAGTACACAAATCAATACAAAATAGCCATACATATCGCCTGATTTAAAATGTATGTACACAGATTTTGGCATGATATGATGAAAAGAAAAACAAAATAATATGAAAGATGGCTTCCTAAACACATTACATTACAATCATTAACTACATTTGAAAATGGTGTAGATATATTTAGACCTTGATATCCTTCAATGGCTCACTCACAAGTTTATTCTAAATGAAAGACATCTCGTAACTACTCAACAGCTTCACCTAGTCAATCCCACCACCCTCACTACCCCACATTCTTAGCATAGAACCCATGTTAGAACGTATTAGGCAGGACAACCGCTTTAAAGGGTTGTTTTGGCCTGAGAAGATGGAAATAAAAGATTAAAAAACAAATGACTTCCAAAACACACCACATGACAATCATTAACTACTTTTAAAAATGGTGTAGATATATTTATATCCCACAATTGCTCACTCGAAAGTCACGAGTTCGGATCCCATAGCTAAGACCTCCGTACAGAACCCATAGCATACAATACGCTTTAATTGTAGTCAAAATGTCGGGAAGAGAATCGGTGCATTCAGTCACTCAACTACTCCGACCATTGAAGTGTCTGCTTTAAATGGCAGTTGTAATAACTTGATTAATGATTGTGTCAACATAATACCTGCCATATTGAACTCACACGAAGCTTTATATTGACCTACATGTGACACATTTTCTTTTTACCTAATTTTAGTGTGCTCATATGATTAAATACAATGTCGCCTGTATTTTTATTTTGTTTGAATATTGCAGATACTCTTTTTCTAGCTTAGAAATGTTGCAAGGGAAATAATTTCCTTATTAATTAACACAATTAGTTTGATAATGCAAAATCAAAGAACAAAATGATATACCGTTTTATGTGACAATGAATACCAATAAACTTAATATAATATTTTCAATAATGATAAACACGTAGATAATTTTTAGTATAATGTTTAAAAAATTGAATGTAATTACAAAACTACATACATTATTATTATATTTTACAATTTTGCAAGACACACGAAGATTTCAGAGAATCAATGTTTTTTGTTGTTCCTCCCTTTTGGTGAATTTTCCATATAGATCTTCTATATAATATAAAAAATGCCAATTAATTTTACATAACATTTTTATAATGAATTTATAAAAATGTCATTGGCCTATCATAATTTTATTTCCATTACCAAGCACTCTGTACATGGCAATTATTTATTTTTTCTTAGACATGTGGATTGTTAGGCTTTAATATTAAACGTAGAACCTATAAAATAAATACATATTATTTTTTTTCAAAACACAGACTTGTTTTGCGCTAGCTAGACTGTAATGAATGTCCCATACTAATATAAATCGGTTTATTAGTTGTTTATAAGACATATATTAAAAGTATTATTTCATGTACGTGTCTGGTGCACTAATTCATTAGTAATCCTGAGATGTATCAGTCGTTAAGCCTACACGTGTGTACGAACTCTATTTATCTTTATCTCTCGCTTACAACAGAGGACCAGATATATAAGCGATGGTCTATAAACTACTGTATATTAAAGAGATGAGATGAAGTCGGTTCATTCAATGATGACAATTAAATCGATGTAGGCCTACACCTTGTTTCAAAAATAGCAAAATAAATAGAGAAAAACTTGAGGGAGAGTGCATATCGAAAGTTTGAGGGGGGGGGGGGTGCAAATCGAAAACTTGAGGGGGGTGCAAATCGAAAGTTTGAAGGGGGGGGGGGCTGGTTCAAATCGAAATGTCGAAAGTGTGTCCCCGGTTAGGGTCGCTACGCCTCTGGGGGGGGGGGGGGGGTGACACTAATAAGTGCCGCACCGGGTTACACCCGACCTCGCTACTCCACTGATTGTGTGTCTGTTGTTCGCTTTATACATGTCTACAGTAATGTGTTTACTTCTGGCTTTCCTATGTCTTGTGTGTGTTGTTCTATTTTCTTGTTTATGTTATTTCAAATCGCTAGACTAGGCCTAACGTTTACAGTGCAGTACCTTTACTATCAAGCATGTTTTTTTTTTCTTCAAATATACGTTTTCAAAGATTCAGTGAAATAAACACACATGTATGATATAACAATTCCACTATCATTTTTAAATAAACGTTTAAAGGGATGCAACAATAGAAATACCGCGTAATTCGAGAAAGCATTATTTCCTTCCCCTACTAATTACAAAATAGGCATTACATTAAATATTAACACTAAGATATACTCAACATATAAATTACAATTGTTCATCTAAAATTACTGTTTAAACTATTTGCACATGATAATGCACGTGTACACTACGTATGACTAAATTATATGGCTTAAAAAGTTACATAATTAAATATATGTAGTACAGAGAGTGAAATGAAATCTTAGCTGAAGCTTTGAAATATGTTTACGAAGATTTATAAATCATAGGGAGAAAATATTGAATAAAAGAAATGATTGCTTTCCATACACCTGACATTTCCGTAAGTAACACATGCTATATATAGTAGATGTATTTAGACCTTTATATCCCACAATCTCATCTTAAAGTTCAGGTCCCGGAGTCGAATCTGTAAGACGTTCATTAGTCTACCCAGTTCAGACGGGTACCTGCCTAAGTTTAGACAAACCGCGGTTAAGACCTCCGTACAAAACCAATAACAAACAATACATTTTGATTTGAATCAAAAGGCCGAGAGGTGAAATGGTGCAAACAGTCACTCGACTACTCCGACCATTGTTTTTTCTGTTAAAAAAATAATAAATACTGAATATTTGTCACTGCTTTCTATTTAAAATGTGTATGCCAATAAAAAATAAACACAGTCGCGATATGTGTTACATAATTAGAAGACATGTAATGAAGTCTAATTGATCAATAATGACCTTCCATAAATTTTCTGATTTAATGAATTATATAAAAACTTCACAACCGACAGAACCCTATTCGTGCAGCCACTATTAAAATAATTTTCCTGTTTGTACGGTGTCATTAAAACTTTAACACATCTTTTATAACATTTATTCGGAAATCCTAGACTGACACTAATTTAACCCACATTTATAGACCTACTTATATTTTAAACACCGACTATACAGTTATAGATTGCCAAAGATATAACCATTTACGCACAAGTTAATTCATGTTGACCAACAATGCAATATCACAGGGAGGAACATACACATTCACCATCACCTAATCAGAGACATATTTCAGTATACACAGGACAAAAAACCCCAGCATACATACTTAGCTTAGACCAGAAGAAAACTTTCCAATGATTAGCGCACATATATCTTCACACAAATCTCAAAGAAAACAATTTGAATAAAAATAATATTTTTCAACACACACAGCCGCCTACTGATAGATCATACAATTAATTAGACGATGCCCCCCCCCCCCACCACCTCACATCCCTTTACATACTCGCATTAGAACTCATCTTAGAAAGCATTAGGTACAATACATACATCAGAGCAATAGACATACCAAACCTATCGAACACAACAATTTTAGTCTACGCAGACGATACTGCTTTTACTCTCCAAACAAAAACAATCCATATCCTTAATATTCTCCTGTCATTACAATGTCAGCGGCTTCACACGTTGTGCCTGTGTCTTGTAGATCTAGTTAAATTATGTACATTAGCTTTTAGCGGTGAAAAAAAAACTTTTTTTTAATATTCGTTAGAAAACAACTATTTCTTTACAGCTTTTTTAAAGGTACATCAGCACAGAATGCAATTCCACTAAAAAATAGAAAATAGAAGAGAAAATCTTGGTAATTATGACAACGGCGATCACCTTGAAAAATTAACCCCTTCCTAGTAAATAAAACATGTAAAGTACAAAACAAAATTTCATAAAAACGTTTTAATAACACGCTGTTATGTAATAAGCTCTCATGTAATAATGCACTAAAAAAGAGAAATAAATAAAAGACGTATTTAAATAACTATAAAGATGAGCATGGTTCTCTTCCTTAATATTAGTTAAGGTATCCAATAGATACTGAAGTGACCCACGCTTTTATTTAAAGTTATCTTCATAGTAGTTATAATTTATTTTCTCCTTTTTAGTGTTATTGAAATGTTTTTTATGACCTTTTTTTTTATTTTAACACTAGATTTACATGACTAAAAACCATTACGCACCTATTGGACGTGTCTAATAGCGCGGAATAGTTTGATGAGACAGCCTACTTATTTGGACACAATTTTAATTAATTCATAAAAATTAATCAGGCAACATATTAAGTCAAATGTAATGTCATGTCTTGACCCACTTACCAACTACGAACCATATCTGTCAGTTAGAAGTGCCCGTTATTTCGCTTGGGCGTTTCGATCTAGACTGAGGACAGATTGGCGAAAAAGAAAGTGAGTTAAAAAAAAAAAGCTTGTAAAAAAAAGAATAATACATTTCATTTGTAAGGCAAAAATAAAATTACGTAAATAAATCAGTTAAAAATGCATGCCAGAGTTTAAACGCTTGTTCAGATCATATCAACAAACAATCAAAGGGATACAACAGCGGAAATATCTAGTTAATCAAGAAAGTTGTATTTACCTCCCCTATTGATTAAAAAAAAACATTACATCTGACCACCCATTGAACATACTCGATCGATCATAACATCTAATGTGTTTATTTGTTTCAAGTGTATGCATAAGGTAATACAACCAGTGATGACGCACATTTGAGTTATAGAAGTCAAGTAGACGTTAACAGAAATAGAGCATAACGTAGTTAGGTAGACCAACATAATTAACATGTGATGACCGGTCAAGTGATACGGTCAGATGACCACTGAAGCGTGGGTCAGCAGTTAGGTCAGCAGTTAGAGAGAGGTAGCGCTAGGGGAAAATGTAGAGAGTTAGAAAAATCTAGTGTTAGGGATGGTCATAGAAATGTGTAGGGAGAATTCTAGTGTTAGTTGTAGTTATATAGTGTTAGTAGAAAGTCAGGTGTTTGGACGTAGTTAGGGTAGGAGTCGAAGGAAGGAACTGTATTTTATTGATACCTACCATTTTTGTGTTTATTCCAGGCGTACGTAAGAATTGGCGATCACCGTAAGGTGTTTATATATATATATATATATATATATATATATATATATATATATATATAATGATATATACCGTATATTCATTACGCAACATTGCAGATATATATAGAATCAAACATGTTTCTACCCAACCCTCATATAACCTCTCATTCAGTCACAAAACTTTATTTTAAACTCTTCAAATAATCAGCCCATCTTAAGGCAATGGTATCTTCTATTTATTAGTGGAAATACACAGTTATTACGAGATTGGGTGATCATAAATTGAGTAAATGAATTGGCATTTTAAACGAGCGTATCGCAATTACTTCCCATTTATTTTCTACAGCATTAATGGGAAACAACTCAAAGACACAAAACCGATTCTTAACTAAATAAATCAAAATTTAAAAAGAAGAAAAACAAGAAAATTATGCTCACACCTTATTTAAGATCTATTAAATCAAATTTAAATTATTTTTTAACGCTGAAACAAAAAAGCTGATCTTGAACGTTTTATTAATGCTATTTAAACATTTAGAAAACGAATAATATGTGCGTTTGTAATGTTGGTTTCAGAAACAAGCAAATTATTCAGGTTGAACAATGCTAGCCGTGACAGTTCGTTATTTGGAAAAAAGTTATTACCTTTTAAAAAAAATGCCACATGTTCGAAAGAATGGAAAAAAAAAAATGTGTCTTCCAATTCAGTTGAAAAGAACAGAGAGAAGATGGTACAAAGGTAATGCTATCTGATGGACATCGGTTGTCTATGGTCATCAGGTTACTGTCATACTTGTGATGCATATATTGAATAATATTAAATATTAATATTAATATTAAAACATATGCATCAAAGTTCCTTTCGAGTTTTAAAATATCACACATGTGTGAACATGCCTTTTCAATAATGAAATAGGTAAAGAACAATTTGAGAAAACAATTTGGACTTCGAGTGTGTTGTCGGCCCCTACAATGTGTCTTTGAGAATCTTTTTTCTCCGGGGGGGGGGGGGGGCACTCGAAATGTGTATATATTTCTATATAAATTATATTTTGCTCCAGTGGGGTAAACTTTCTTTAGACTGAGTCAGGGGCTCTGCCACCCCAAAGAGATGAATGGAAGAAACTCTGGCCCCCGAACTGATATTTGATAGATGATGCGGCCCTCGGGCTGAAATGTTTGGAGACTTTAGCTGTGAGATATTGTGTCTGAGATATTTTGTCTGAGATCATTTGTCCATGATATCATTTGTCCTGATATATTTTGTTCTGGTATCTTTTGTCCTTGAGATTATTTGTCCTTGAGATCATTTGTCCTGGAATTATTTGTCGTGAGATCATTTGTCCTGAGATTATTTGTCATGGAACCATATACATATATATATATACATATATATATATATATATATATATATATATATATATATATATATATATATATATATATATATATATATATATATACATATACATATATATATATATATATATATATATATATATATATATATATATATATATATATATATATATATACACTAATCTCGCTAACATTATATGTTAAATAATCACTGGAGCTCCGGTCATCCATTTATAACATCAAACAAAATCATGAAATTAATTCCCCCACCCTCCTACACCCTCTACCCTCACACTTACCAACAATAGACGATCCACACTCCCCACATAATTTAGACACTTATAAAACTATGATTTGACCCCACAAAGCTTTCATCAGATTAACATGCGTTGTGTTCATTACAATAATTCAAAACATGTCGTGTATACTTTGCAATCATATTAATACACATAACAATATACAGTCGTAAGTCTTCCTCGTGTACCTGACCTCTAGTTCTGCTTATCGTACAAGTTGTATAAGGTATTGTCCATAAACGACGTCACAATTCGATATTTTACACGATTACAATACTTCTTCCATACTACGTATACTAGGATGTAACTCAAAAATACTAAAATTCATATTATCTGATTGTACCAGAATTGGTCCACCGCCTCCCTGTTATTTAAGAATATACGAGAACATTTTAGGGAAATCACTCACTCTTTATTTTACACAATTATATCCATTCATAAACTAATTTAAGGGGGCGTCATACAAGCTAGGAAAATAAAATAAATGTTCTGTGTGCGTGTGTTGTCTTAATGAATTATACACAACCACAATTTAAAATAGACTACTGCTTGGCTTTTCAGACAAAATTAGATTTGACACCATAACAAAAACGAATATGGTGCAGTAATTAGCAAAAAGTGACATATACCTTTCAAAAACTAAGAGGAGGGGGGATGGAATAGTGAATATAAACAAGATATATTTTAGTTAGCATCAACTACAATTTTGTCACTTTATTTTAAAACTTATGTTCCGTGTTTGAGGTCATGTTTTTGTGTCATTTTCTACGGATAATAGTTATTTTATATCAGTACTTGTTACATACATATCCGAAGTAAAAGATCGAGCAGCAGAACTGGTCAAAAGTTGCCTTTAAGTAAAAGTGTTAGAAAAAAATTATAACGCATCAAGAAACATTGATCTTAACATATAGTAAAATGATTTTAGTGCTTGTCTTTAAAAAATGTTAAATACAAATATAAGGCTTTCAATTTTTGCAATTACAAAAATGTTTTAATAAATATTCAGATTATAACTAAACATTTTGCAGGTTTGTGTAAACAATTGTTATAATCTATGAAATATTTATCTCTGCTTTTAAATTAAAAGCTGATTAATTACACAATTCCGCATATTTTACTCGGCTTTCTATTTGTGGAAGATTTGCGTTGTCTCCCTTGAAAACACTAATAAAGTATGTAACAAAGGGAGGTAATTACCATTGGTAAATAAACATGTTTATTGGTAAAATCAAAACTATAATAAAATGTAAGATCAACTAAAATTATGAGAAAAGCAAGTGCTTACATCAGAAAAGTAAATGGCTGTCAGACATTGAGAAAAGAACATGCGACAGTCGTGGGGTTAGAACTGTAGAATCTGTTTCATCGTTTTTTTTTCTCACTTTTTCCTTCAAAAAAGTTCACAAATTGTTACTGTTTGGGGGGATTTAAATATAAAAAATGTATCGATAGTTCATCCCGGGCGTCGAAATATGTAGCTACGGCTCTGATTCGAACTCTAGACTTTCGGTGTTTGCAGTATCATTGCTCTATCATCCGACTATAGGGCTGCTAAGTAGGTCAACAATCAGTTATATGGCTCATGCATGTTTTATTTAGCCGTAGAACTGGTTGGTGACCTACTAACCAGCCGTATACCATCACCTAGCCATTTTCTCTACATTTAATTCCATTTTATTTCCTCGCATTTTGTTCTATCTATGTATATACACTGTCTTATCTGAGTCATGTTTTCCTAACATCATATTACGCTATATGTCTATCTGACGTTATGTTCAACTACCACTGTTTTTGATAAAACATGCATCGTCTATTAAACAAATTATTTGTACCCAATGTTTGCCATTTTTTAATACAATGATGTTATTTAACAATGATCTAATATCAGAGCTGGATACGGACACAAACCATTTTACATGTAAATGTTCAAATCATTTAAAAAAGTATAGACCCATATCCCTACAGTTATAAAGTATTGACGAAAACACTAGCTAGGAAAGAACATCAAGGATATAATTCACCGAGACCAATAATACAGCATCCTAGGGAGGAACATCCAGAATCAAATACATCTTTTGAGAGACAAATAAGATACACACATAGCTGGCAACCCATAGTATAGATCAATAGAAAACATTCAATACAATTGATGATACACGGCTAAGAGAAAAAAAAAATATGTGCATACAACCTTACCTAAAACATGGATTAAAATCATATACGCAAATGCGCACAACGGTCTTCTAATAAATATTACACACAACAAAGCCATACGAATAAAGATTCAGCTAGTCAAGGCTGTCCGCTATCCCTGCTACTATAAACCTTAGTATAGATCCTATGCTAGAAAGTATTAGACAGGATGTTTGTATAAAGGGATTACCATGCTAAACACTAGGACCAAGAAATTTAACAGCCTCAGATTAATCTTTTTTTGCTCAATATTTTGAGGCAGATTTATGC